TAAATGAATATCAGAAACCCCCTGTGTTAGAAAAATTAGTGTTGTAGAGCAGCTACTGTATGTAATTCATATCCTACAAAGTAAAGATAACAACAGTAAAACTCCAGAAAAGTTAAGCAGGAAAATCAAATAAACCCTTCCTTCTAATCTGCTGTTTTTGGATTGAGACATTTCAGAGTAAGGAGGTTGCTGTGTCTTAAGGAGGCACGCTATAGATTTGGCTTCTCTAGCTAAGAATAGAACAAGGAAATGAGTTGTGAATGTGATGAATTGCTGTCTTTTGGACCGTATTTGGATGCAACCTTTGTTTTTGTTCTTCCACCACCTCTCAGGAGAGACAGGCTCTTGGGCTTCATTCCAGATAGAAGTTCATCAAAACATGCTATATGCCCAGTAGGGTTTGTTTCCTTGGGAAAGAAAGTTTATTTGAACACAAGGCTCTTTTGACAGCGGANGCTAGCTCTCAGTAACTGTTAGTTGTCATTATTCTGTTTTAACACACACACACACACACACGCTTTTCATGTATATAATTTCAGTATCTGATTTTTAATGAAGAGAACTAGCTTTTTAACATAACGTCCTAGATTTCTAATGGATTTCAGCCTTCAAAGGCATTAAAGATAATTTACATGTTTTTGTATACCCAGGCAAGCATTATTAACTTATTATTAATATCATATGCAATATGTATATTTAAACATTTTGCTATCATTGATGTTGGGCAAGATTTATAAGAAGCCTGGGTGGCTTGAGGCCCTGAGTCAACTTGAGTATGGTAGGTGAATGGACATCTTTTTGAGATGTAGCAAATCTTTTTGAGATGTAGCAAATCTTCTCCACCTCAGTGGCATCTGGATCAAGAGCTTCCTTTCACCTACGTTTCATGTAAAATGGGACTTTTTCCTATGACTAAATATTAAATTAACTAGAAACAAACAAATGCCTCAGAGAGAGTTAAGCATTTTTCACTAGTGTGTGTTTATTATTGGAGTTACTAAGAGTCGGTTTTGGTAAAGGGAAACCAAGATTGTAAGATGGAAGTGAGGTCTCACAGGACGGGAAGACAGCCGCCCCGCACGAAGATTTCCTGGGGCATCAAACACAGTTCTGGGAGGCTCTTTCTGTAGCCGCGAAACCTTTGCTCATTTCTCAGTAGATGTTAGATTTAGACACTATGTTAAGATTCTCAAAAGGGTGAGGGTTGTGAGCACGTAGGCCTCAGAACAGTAGAAATGCTGTCTTGGGCCAGGACACTGAAACCCTCTGGACCAAAAGGTTTACCAGCAAAGCCAGCCTGTTCCTTCCATTGCACTTCCCCGTTAACATTCTACAGAGCAGTTTTCTTGTGGTAGAAGCCAACATTTCATATTGAGTATGGGAACTTACAGCTTGCCATAACCAATAGTGGGGCACAGTCTTGACTGCTCCTTTGCTCTGTCTACAAATGAAAGAGTTCCAGGAAACAATTTTTGAGTTTTTCAGCATTGATTCTTTTGTCCTAGGATGGGGTATTTACTGAGTATTTGGACTTGACATTCCTGCTAAGGAGGCATAATTGTGTCCTAACTTCTGGCATGGTAGTAGTCGAGCACACACACACTACCAGGTGCTTCTTACAGGAAAACTTATGCACCTTTTAGAATAATCATAACTCGAGTTAACATTGCTATAGAGCCATTAGACACACTTAAGAGGGTTTCTGTAGTGATCCTTTAGAAGTATTGAGAGGGAAATTGACATGGTTTCATACATGTACTACTGGTAAGGAACAACACTGCATGTGGGCCACATTTGTTTGAGAAGATGTGGGTGCTCATGTTTGTTGCTCAGATAATCCTGTAAAAGTGTAAGAAAGTTTGTGCAAGTTAGAGAACAAAAATGAACTGAAGTAATAGAAGTAGGAATAACAAAAGAATTAGGGAAGGTCCATTTTTTTGTCTTTTCTTTTGCTGTTTGAACTTAGGCCATGCTGAAAGGAAGGACCTTCTTCTCAACTATAGCAGTTCCTAACTGCAGCACCGTGTGTTTTTAGTGCTTTCCCCCTGGTCAGTGCTTTGTGGTATAACACTGCATGTCCCATGTTGTGAAAAATAGCCGTCAAATAAGCTCTACTCTTTTACAGGCAGACTAGTAAATGAATATCAGAAACCCCCTGTGTTAGAAAAATTAGTGTTGTAGAGCAGCTACTGTATTTAATTCATATCCTACAAAGTAATGATAACAACAGTAAAACTCCACCAGAAAAGTTAAGCAGGAAAATCAAATAAACCCTTCCTTCTAATCTGCTCTTTTTGGATTGAGACATTTCAGAGTAAGCAGGTTGCTGTGTCTTAAGGAGGCACGCTATAGATTTGGCTTCTCTAGCTAAGAATAGAACAAGGAAATGAGTCGTGAATGTGATGAATTGCTGTCTTTTGGACCATATTTGGATGCAACCTTTGTTTTTGTTCTTCCACCACCTCTCAGGAGAGACAGGCTCTTGGGCTTCATTCCAGATAGAAGGTCATCAAAACGTGCTATATGCCCAGTAGGGTTTGTTTCCTTGGGAAAGAAAGATAGTTCATTTGAACACAAGGCCCTTTTGACAGCAGAATCATTTTACACTACGGTGGAGGCGGGATTGATCAGCACTTAGCAGTTTGTCGCTATGCAGTGGGAAGACGAGCCAGTGTTGCAGAGGTAGATTTTAAAGCCCTCTCTAGGCCTTTGCTTTCCCCCTGAGATGTGTCTAGTTCAAATATGCCCACGGGGTCACCCCCTAAAGATAGATGTTTAGCATGGGAAAGGAACCACCCTGTGTAGAAATAGCACAAATTATAGCAGAGAAACTGCAGATGGTAATCTAAAGTGTCATAAGGCACAGCTAGAAAGTGGTAATGTTGCTCACATGGGGAACCTAACCCTGTTGGAATGGTGGGGAGTTGGGGTGCGGGGCTTCTTTCATTGTGCATGGTTAATATTGGTGGTGTCTCGCTGGGAATGCACTAACAGTAAATTTAATGTTCTAAATGTGAATTCACAGAAACTTTTGGCCCGTGTATGCACTCTGTTATAAAAGGTGTGTTCCTGGCTGTTTACCCTTACGGCAACAAAGAACTAAGATTTATATCTGTCTTTCCTATTCAGGGACTGGCACATCTTCACATTCATCATGTGATTCACCGAGATATCGAGGGCCAGAATGTACTGCTGACCGAGAATGCAGAGGTGAAACTTGGCATGTGACAGACTTGCAGCATGATCTCATACTTGCCCTGGCACAGACTGTTGACACTCGATGCACCCATGTTTTCTGTTTCTGCTCCATGCAGGAATGTGGGAAGTGGGCTGATTGCTTAGCCTGGCTCCAACCTCCCTTCTCCCGTGCTTCTGTCTGTTGTTCTGTTCTCTATATAGCCGCCAGACTGATTTTCAAAATCAGACGATACCACTTTCCTGCTTAATGACCCTTAGTGGCTTTTTATTTTGCTTTGGATAAAATCCACAGTTCATACCCTGGCCCATAAAAAGCCAGATAGGATCTGGCACCCGTTACTTTCCTACCTCATTTTGTGTCCCTTTTCTTGTCTTTCTCATGTCTTTATTTATTTATTTATTTATTTTAACTTCTTGGAACTTGCTTCAGGGCCTTTGTATATACTGTTCCCCATTGAGGAACACTTGGCCTCAGTTTTGAAGTTTCAATTTTTTCGTCATTTTCGGGGGCCTTCTCTGACCCTCTGATCTGTCTTGGAACCCCTGCTTGTTTCTTACATAGAATTGTTCACAACTTACCTTTATATGGTTATTTATTGACTTGTCTTTCTGTCTCCCTTAACAGAACATAACTTCTAGAAGTGCACTGACCAGAATTCTTATCCAGCACCTAGTGTAGTGCCTTGAGTTCAGTAGGTGCTCGATAAATTTCTACGTGGGTAGGTCATTGCAGCCCATCGTGTCTTCCCAGAGATGATTTTATGATGTTTCTTTTGTATTTCCCATTTCCCTTAGCTGAGTTTTGTTCCCATTTCACTTCCATGTAATGATTCTGTCAAAATTTTAAACAGAATTATGGTCAAAGTGGGTCAAGAATTTGAACTACAATGTATATTGAGAAGTTAAAATAAAAAAACAAAATTTTAAACAGAATTAGCGTTTATTTTTTTTCCAACTAAGCCATCACACACAAAATATTTCTTTATACTTGTTCTTAAAAGGATCTGGCCCATCTTTCTTTCAAAAACCTTAGGTACAGTAATTGTACTTTAAACATAAAATCTTCATCATTGCCTTCTTACGTACTGTCTGCACTGATTGGTCATTTGTGGAGAAATAGTCTTCCCAGTTGGAAACTTCCCTCAAAGCTAAGATAGGAGGAAGCACTGAAGTTGTTCTCATACCTAACGACTCAGTGTGTTCCCTGCACTGACCTCACGGTGCTGGTCCTGTGATAGTCCCTGTCATCACTTAGTGATTGGTTGCTGTTGTCATCCATGTTGCTGGGAAGCTTGCTTAGGTTTTATCTGCTGACTGCATGGCTTGTGCATCTCTGTCTCAAGAGGACCATTCAGTGAGCTCACCCCCAGCAGGTTGTGTCCTGTGCATGTTCTGTGCACAGAAACAGAGTCTGTGACCCCTGTGAATCATCTCAGCAGTTCACGAGTCCTTTTGCCTGACCTCTTCCACCTTTGTAATTTTCCGCTGGGATAATGCCAGTGTGTGCAGTGCTGATGTTGGCAGGTACTGAACTGGCAAACATTCCATTAGAGATCGTGGGCTTCCTGACAACTCTGCTGCCCATCCTTGAACTTTCCTCAAGACCACTACCATCATTAAATTTGGTTGGGTGGGCCAGCCCGGTGGCACACTGCGCTAGTGCACCGCTTGGGAAGCGTGGCGGCACTCCCGTCGAGGGTTCGGATCCCACATACAGACCGGTTCCCGCTCACTGGCTGAGCGAGGCGTGGGGGCAACACCGAGGGTTGCGATCCCGTTGCCGGTCCTGGTCCGGCACGGGGGTGACACTGAGGGTTGCGAACCGTTGCCGGACACGGAAAAAGACAAAAAAAAAAAAAATTTTTGGTTGGGTGTAGAAGTTCTGAAAAATCGGCAGAAGTTCCAATTGCTTCTGGGGGTATTCTTTGTGTATTTGCAATTTAGCATGATTCTGTTTATTTAACGTAGTACTATGTTCTCTCCCAGAAAACCTTTGTGGGTTTCTTTGTATGGTTATTAGGCTACTTAAGTAGTTAAGTCCAGCTGGTCTCAGTCAGTTCTCCTGAACTGCGGGCTTTCTAGGACTTGATCTTGTTTGTGGCAGGTGTGTTCTTTGAGAGCATTGAAGATCTCCATTCATTGAAAAGGCCTTCTGTTGCTGGTCACTGTTTGGGGAGCTCAGGGAGGCAGCTGGTTCCAGGCCTCCCAGGAGCTTCCAGACTGGGAGAGGGTTTTGCAGTCTTGGTGGCTTTGCTCTGGAAGGGGCACTCCTTTCCTGTGTTGCCTGCCTTGAGGAGAATCGCATGTTCATGAAGCACTGCTGTTTCCGTTTACTATGAAGACACCTCCTCCTCACATTTTTTTCTTTTATATCTGGTTTGTTAATTAATTGCATCCCACTTTTCTTTCTCTTTCTCCTGCAGTTGATTTTGGTGTGAGCGCTCAGCTGGACAGGGCAGAGAAATACATTCTCTGGTTGGGCAGAGAAATACATTCAGAAGCAACCCCTACTGGATGGCTCCAGAGGTCATTGCCTGTGACAAGAACCCAGATGCCACCTATGACTACAGAGTAAGAGGGACCTGCCGGTGGGCCTTTGCTGAGACACTGACATCCGAGGGTTGCGGGCTTTGTTTACAAATCACACACTTTTTATCCATACCTACATTGTCAGTGAGGAAGACATGGGCACCCTGTTGTGGGTGCAAATTATGCAGGACAGTGTTTAGATGCTGTCTTTTTTGTCTGTTTGCATCAGCTTTGTTCTCATCTCTAAAGAATACTCTGGTTTCAGGGCAGTCTGGGCCTCTTTGTTGTGCTTAGATCTTTTCATCATGAGTAAAATGCTTCTGCATATGTTCGCTGTCCTTTTTAACCTGAAGAATATATTAGAATCAATTATTCTTTTAAAAATATTGTCAGAACGTATAGTAGTAGCTCCGTCTATGTGGAATTTTTGAGTATTCTTTTTAAAGGGCTTTACAGCTTTGATTCTGTACACAAATATGTTTAAATTATCAGAGTGACCTCTAGGGACTTGAATCAGTAATGCACTTTTTTGATCCAGATGTAAAACCCGTATTTGATAATCGGACTCAGGTTGACTATGCTTACAAAAAACTGTTTAAAAATATAATTAAACCCTTACTTGTAATTAACTGAGCCAGAGTGGTTAGTCTACCTGTTAATGATATTCAGAACTGAGTTCATGTCTCAACAGTCTGCCAGTGTATTTATTAGAAATACGCAATTAAGGGGCCGGCCCAGCGGCGCACTCGGTAGAGTGCGGCGCTTGGGAGCGCGGTGGCATTCCCGCCGAAGGTTCGGATCCCATATAGAGACCGGTCCGCTCACTGGTTGAGCGTGGTGTGGGTGCGACACTGAGGGTTGCGATCCTGTTGCCGGTCGTGTAACGGGCGCGACACCGAGGGTTGCGATCCTGTTACCAGTCACGAAAAAAGACAAAAAGGAAAAAAAAAAAAAAAAGAAATACGCAATTAATGAGGCTTAATTTAAGCCTATACTGCAGAGGAATTTTTATTTTTTATTTTTATATGCTGAAATGTTTAAAAATAGATTATAGACTTTGTGACTTTCCATTCTTTAATATAACATTGCATATCTCTAAAATTTCAAAACATTTTCCAACACATTCAAAATATTATCATACCTCAATAAATAAGAATATTTCCTTAATACAATGTCCATAATTAGACCTTGCTGTTTTGTTTAAGCTAATATCCAGTACAGGAAAAAGCAGTGTATTTGGTTGTTTGGCCAATCAGTCTCTTTTAATCTAGAACCTCCCTCTCACAACACGCCCCCCCCTCCCTTTTTTTTTTCATGAGACTGACTTGCCGAAGAGGCTGGGCCTGTTGTAAAATGTTCTACCCTGTACATTTGTCTGAGTCCTTCTCTGTAGTGTCATTTAGCTTGTTTCCTGTGAACTGGAAAGGCTCAGTTAGTATTCAGGGAAACCTTCTCAGCAAGATCCCCTCACAGGACATGGAGGTGTCTTGTGTTGCCTTACACCAGGGGATGTGCAGCCCTGCTTGTGCCACCACTGACACTGCCACTTTGGGTCGCTGGGTTAAGGTGGTAAACACCTTTGCACTTGTATAGCATAGAAAATTTCAGAAAAATAAGGGAGAAATTTGTAGGCCTGTTCTTATTCTTGTATTCAAACATNGTCTCAACAGTCTCCCAGTGTATTTATTAGAAATACACAATTAATGAGGCTTAATTTGGGCTGGCCCCGTGGTGCACTCAGGAGAGTGTGGCACTGGGAGTGCAGCAGCACTCCCGTCGCGGGTTCGGATCCTATATAGGGAAGGCCAGTGCGCTCACTGGCTGAGCGCAGAGCAGGCAACACCAAGCCAAAGGTTGCGATCCCCTTACCCGTCACAGAAAGGACAAAAAAAAAAAAAAAAGATGCTTAATTTAAGCCTATAGTGCAGAGGAATTTTTATTTTTATATGCTGAAGTGTTTAAAAATAGATTATAGACTTTGTGACTTTCCATTCTTTAATATAACATTACATATCTCTAAAATCTGAAAACATTTCTCAACACACTCAAAATATTATCATACCTCAATAAATAAGAATATTTCCTTAATACAACGTCCGTACCCCCCCCTTGCTATTTTGTTTAAGCTAATATCCAGTACAGGAAAAAGCAGTGTATTTGGTTGTTTGGCCAATCAGTCTCTTTTAATCTAGAACCTCCCACTCACAACACGCCCCTCCCCCCTTTTTCATGAGACTGACTTGCTGAAGAGGCTGGGCCTGTTGTAAAATGTTCTACCCTGTACATTTGTCTGAGTCCTTCTCTGTAGTGTCATTTAGCTTGTTTCCTGTGAACTGGAAAGGCTCAGTTAGTATTAAGGGAAACCTTCTCAGCAAGATCCCCTCACAGGAAATGGGGGTGTCTCGTGTTGCCTTACACCAGGGGATGTGCAGCCCTGCTTGTGCCACCACTGACACTGCCACTTTGGGTTGCTGGGTTAAGGTGGTAAACACCTTTGCACTTGCATAGCATAGAAAATTTCAGAAAATTAA